GTCTCTTTTTGGTCTTTTTATAAGTGAAATCCACACGTCCACAAAGCCATAATGTTACTTTTATCTATAACATGATTTTGGAAATTTGTAATTCCAATTTGGGAAATTGTATTGACATTTGCTGCAAACTTGGTAATGAATATTGGTCTCTTCAGCAGGTTGAAATACATCCCTGAAAGATCTCAAAAACTGACCGAATCAAGAATAAACTGTTTTTTGGGAAACATGTTGGAATTTGTCAGTTTCTCAGAATTGCACTTTTAAATTGCACTCCAAAATAACTGCATACCAGTCTCAACATCATGTGTTTTGTAGTCATGAATAAATAATACAAGTGATATGTTTTGCATGTTTTCTTTAAAACAAATGCATTCGAGGTTAAAATAAACACACGCTTCCCTCACATATAATTCTATTTTGCCATAATCTATTTTCAAGTACAACTCAAATTTGAAACAATGGCCAACATCCGGAATACATTGGAAAATTCAAAAACATTCCGTTTGCCAGATTAGGTCTATTTTCTTTCAAAGCAACTGTCAAATGGAGCCTATTACATAGCATTGTATTCAGCACCTGTATATCTATGGCGCAAGCTGGCTGTCCTCTTTCACAGGGAAACTTGGTCCTATTTGTAAAACTGCACACATTTTCTGCATTAGCAATTACCATGTGTACATTGTTAAAAGCAATATGCTGGAAACAGGCAACTAGCTATTAGTGGTGTTCCCTGATGCACACATGCACAAGGCTAGGTTCTCGGGTAAACACTGATTGGTCAAGGAATTATTATTTCAGTCGGCATGTGACCCCTCTCTGTGCTGGGAGCATCTTGGGGGTAAAAATATCCCAATTTCCAACAGCAGGATAGGAGGCAGTAATGCTTCGTGACCCGACCATTTGATGTCGACATTGCATCCGCTTCCTCAGAGTGTGATGACTCAATCTCTGGAAACAATAGAGAATCTAGGGAACGAAGCAGATACCTGTTGTTCCTCGTCACGATGGAGCTGCTCTGGTGTAGTGCTGTAATGGTCTACTTATGTTGTATATCTGGGCCAAACCAAGCTTGACACTGTGCCAACAATTTACAGTCTTCCGCTATCTCTTCAATATAAATTATTTTGGTTGAAATTTGTTTATTTTATACATTTTTGGGTGATACCAAACTGCTGATCCCATCTCTCAAGAGCCGACCAATTACTGCTTCCGGATGATGAAAGTCTGGGAATGTGGGTACACCTGCCCACAGAAGGGGGCGAAGAACTTATCAAATTGTGCATGTCAGCCTGACTTTTGAATGGGTGAAGTAGGTGTAAACTATCAGGTAATGAAGGCATCAGAGCAGTTAAGGTGAACTTCATACTTACATTAATGGTTGTACTGGGACATTACAACTGCCACAAGTCTATCCTGTTATCTCTAACACATCGTATTTTTTATAAACTGGCCATGTCACTTTGACATTTAAGAAAGAAGCTACAGTAGGGATTCGTACACCAGGCTTGTCTCAAGCCTGGGTCTAGTCAAATTTCTTTTGGTCTAGTAAGTCCATATAGTAACACTAATGACTACTTGAGTGAGTGAGTGAGTGAGTGAGTGTGGTTTTACGCGGCTTTTAGCAATATTACGGTGGGGGACACCAGAAATGGGCTTCACACATTGTACCCATGTTCGGAGTGATGAGCGAACGCTTTAACCACTAGGCTACCCAAATGCCCCAATGCCTACTCGAGATTATGTCAAGTGACAAGTTCAGGTGCGAAGATGTTAGTCTATAGTCTCTCAGATCGCGTATGTGTTGGTACATATAATACTCCTTTGTTGTGTTCTTTCTCACATAGATCTGTTACATGTAATGTCAACCACAGGGCTCACATAAATCTATCAGGACCAGTGGCATTGACAATGGAAGCTATTTCAGCGTATGATGATCTTTTTCTCATGTCTGTTTAGTGTCACTAGACTGCATGTCACGGTGACACAGTTACAGGCGGTTCACCTGCTAACTGACCTCCATGAATACAATGGGGAGAGGGAGTGTTTCACATGCTGGTTACCCCTCAGATCTTAGGCTGTTTCTGTGCTGCCCACACACGTTTCAGTCCCACTGTATCAATAACAGACCTGTGAAGACCCTTATATTGAATATACACTCATGGTGTACATCCCTTGAGGTGTGTGTGTATATACCCAGTGAAATAAAACACCCTGAACTTCCCTCATGGTGTGTGTGTGTGTATATACCCAGTGTAATAACACACCCTGAACATCCCTCACGGTGTGTGTGTATATACCCAGTGTAATAACACACCCTGAACTTCCCTCACGGTGTGTGTATATATACCCAGTGTAATAACACACCCTGAACATCCCTCATGGTGTGTGTGTGTATATATACCCAGTGTAATAACACACCCTGAACTTCCCTCATGGTGTGTGTGTGTGTATATACCCAGTGTAATAACACACCCTGAACATCCCTCACGGTGTGTGTGTATATACCCAGTGTAATAACACACCCTGAACTTCCCTCACGGTGTGTGTATATATACCCAGTGTAATAACACACCCTGAACATCCCTCATGGTGTGTGTGTGTATATATACCCAGTGTAATAACACACCCTGAACTTCCCTCATGGTGTGTGTGTGTGTATATACCCAGTGTAATAACACACCCTGAACATCCCTCATGGTGTGTGTGTGTGTACCCAGTGTAATAACACACCCTGAACTTCCCTCATGGTGTGTGTGTGTATATACCCAGTGTAATAACACACCCTGAACATCCCTCACGGTGTGTGTGTGTATACCCAGTGTAATAACACACCCTGAACATCCCTCATGGTGTGTGTGTGTATATATACCCAGTGTAATAACACACCCTGAACTTCCCTCATGGTGTGTGTGTGTGTATATACCCAGTGTAATAACACACCCTGAACATCCCTCACGGTGTGTGTGTATATACCCAGTGTAATAACACACCCTGAACTTCCCTCACGGTGTGTATATATACCCAGTGTAATAACAAACCCTGAACATCCCTCATGGTGTGTGTGTGTGTATATACCCAGTGTAATAACACACCCTGAACATCCCTCACGGTGTGTGTGTGTATATATACCCAGTGTAATAACACACCCTGAACATCCCTCACGGTGTGTGTGTATACCCAGTGTAATAACACACCCTGAACATCCCTCATGGTGTGTGTGTGTATATATACCCAGTGTAATAACAGACCCTGAACATCCCTCACGGTGTGTGTGTATACCCAGTGTAATAACACACCCTGAACATCCCTCATGGTGTGTGTGTGTGTGTGTGTGTGTGTGTGTGTGTGTGTGTGTGTGTGTGTGTGTGTGTGTGTGTGTGTGTGTGTGTGTGTGTGTGTGTGTGTGTGTACCCAATGTAATAACACATCCTGAACATCCCTCACGGTGTGTGTGTGTGTGTACCCAGTGTAATAACACACTTTGAACTTCCCTCATGGTGTGTGTGTGTGTGTACCCAGTGTAATAACACACTTTGAACTTCCCTCATGGTGTGTGTGTGTGTGTATACCCAGTGTAATAACACACTTTGAACTTCCCTCATGGTGTGTGTGTGTGTGTACCCAGTGTAATAACACACCATGAACATCCCTCATGGTGTGTGTGTATACCCAGTGTAATAACACACCTTGAACATCCCTCATGGTGTAAAAAGTCCCGTAACACCTATCATTGTGTATACCCAGTGTAATAAATCCCGTCACACCTATCGTTGTGTATACCCAGTGTAATAAGTCTGGTAACACCTATCGTTGTGTACATCCATTGTAATAAGTCCCGTAACCACCATCGTTGTGTATACCTAGTGTCTACAGGTCCTTGAGTAATGACCACAAAGTTACATATGATACATGAGATTGTGTGCATGTTAGTCCAGATTATCTTGGTATGCAATCTGCAGCAACACATGACATCTGATGGCTGCGCGGTGCACAAACACGGAACAGTAAGATGAACTCTGAAGATAGTGTACACAGACTAATTTACTCTGTTGTGATGCATGTTTTACATCCATGGAAACCACTCACTGTTTCTTCTGTGCACACACAACACAAACCTCTGCTTCAACATATACACAAGTCCCACACAAAGAACATGTACAAAGTGAAACAACTCCCTGTAAACATACAACAGCTTTGCATGCAGTATTGAACTTTATTTTGTCCATCAAATACATATTATTATTGTTTGTTGTTTAATGCCCCACTCAGCAATATTCCAGCTATAAATAATCGAGTCTGGGCCAAGCAATCCAGTGATTGCTATTGTAAACAACAATCCATGCTATTGTTGATATTTATTATAGATGTCTGACAAATGAAAATACCTTTGCTGAGTATCTATAAAAAGAGTTATCTTCATTGCAAGAGGAAAGCAGCTTTGAACTTGTTGAGAATTGGAGCAGACAATCCGGTGGACGATAGCATGAGCATCAACACCATCATGACAGCTTAATAACAAACTAAATTATAGGTGAGGCGAAACAGGGTCTAAAATCCCGTTAAAGATTATTGCGCTTAAATAGTAGCATGCATGCACATCTGTGTGTGTGTGGCTGATTGTGCTAGTCCGGACTGGTGTCGATTTATCGTGCTAGCTCACTGAGATACCATACTGCAGTTGAACATGAATACACCACTTAGACACAGACAGGGTAACAACAAGTACCATCTTTTAACATCTTTTAGTATGACGAGGCTGGAATTGAACCCCAGAACTTCTGCTTTCCAGGCAGACGCTCTACCACTAGACCACGGAGGTGGTTGAACTAAATCAAAAGAAGCAGCTGCATCGACTCCAGGGAGCCACCTTCCAATCCATCCTTTGTCGTAGCGGCCATTCAGTTGCCTCTCAAGACAGACATGGAGAACTCAGTCAGCACCCTACTATCTGTCTGAGAGCCTGGTTATAGTGAGTTAAAGCTGAGTAAAGTGGAACTCACCTAAATGACCCCAGTCTTCTCCCCCTTGGCACAAGGCAGAATGTGGAATTGTACAATAACTTCTTATAGTCATACCTGTAACAGAGAAATACAGAGATAAGTATCAATAGAATCAGCGCCACACTGAAGGAACAATAGTTATGAGGTTGTGACATCATACGGTGAGTGAGTTAGGTTTGCCTCTTTTAACATTATTAGTTATATCACGGCGTGTCAGCTTAATGTAGACGTTTCAGAGGTTTACCACTTCAGTGAAACCCCTGAGCACGGGTATGGTGCTGACAAACCCAGAAACATAATCGAGGCCAACCAGGATTCGAACCAACAATCATAGGTTTCTGGCGTGCCCAAGGGATGCAACTCTGCACAGCGAATCGCGGCGCCTTAGAGGACTTGGCCACCCGTGCCCCCTGACTAAAGTAGAAACCTGGCTAAGCTTGAAACTGTCGACTCTAGACATGGAGAAGAAGTGGGCACGTCTTAACAAACTGGCAAACATTGCACTTGATTTAAGGTTACATCTGGTTAAATGGACACTAGTGTAAGTGGACTCTTGAGGGTGCATCCAGAAAGTGGACACTATGTTTACATGCAGTACTGGCGGCTAATTTGCTTGCAAAGCGTGCATCTCATTCCTCTCCCTTCAAAGGAAGGCCATCACATGTAAAACTCCATGTAAAAACTCCATGCATTTAATCATCAGAAACTAATTACATCGTCTGCCATTACTGTCTTCCAAAGACTCATTGTTTCATTAAGCACATGAAGCTCCCATTCATCCCCTTTGTAACATAAATCACATCACATAAGCAGCTATCAGCAGCATAAAATTCGTGGGGCAGCTATCTCATCTCCCTGAATATGATAACAAGGGATCTGATGGCACCAGCATACATGAACACACTCATTTCTCCCTTATCCTGGAAACCCCAAGATGTGATTCCTTCCTTGCTTATGTACAGCTGTCATCGGATGAGATATTATGTATTTCCTTAAGATAACTTCTCCTGCAGGGCTATTACCACACTGTCACTCTGAAGCATGGGGAACATACAGCAGCAATGAGATGGAGATACGACACAAACTCCCCAAACTTTACTGCTGATCTACAGAAGCTGGTGCACATTCAGAGCTGATGGGTTTAGTTCTTGATGTTGGTACTTTACGATGATGACCGGATACAGCGGACCCTCATTAACTCAAACCCCTTAAACTCGATATCACGAACCTTGTAAGTGACTTTATGCTGTGTTTCTTGAAAGCTCAGCAATTACTGGTTGGAACATATTCAAAGAGACATTAACACATTATCCATACCCATTATTTACTTATCCATAAGTATTGTCACTGAAATGGTACGGCCTTAATCAAAGTTTGTTTGTTTGTTTCTTGTTTAATGCTGCACTCAGCAATATTCCAGCTATATAACTTAATCAAAGATTGTTTGTTTGTTTCTTGTTTAACGCTGCACTCAGCAATATTCCAGCTATATAACTTAATCAAAGTTTGTTTGTTTGATTCTTGTTTAATGCTGCACTCAGTAATATTCCAGCTATATGACTTAATCAAAGTTTGTTTGTTTGTTTGTTTCTTGTTTAACGCTGCACTCAGCAATATTCCAGCTATATAACTTAATCAAAGTTTGTTTGTTTGTTTCTTGTTTAATGCTGCACTCAGCAATATTCCAGCTATATAACTTAATCAAAGATTGTTTGTTTGTTACTTGTTTAACACTGCACTCAGTAATATTCCAGCTATATGACTTAATCAAAGTTTGTTTGTTTGTTTCTTGTTTAACGCTGCACTCAACAATATTCCAGCTATATAAGCGCCCCGCTCTAATAAGCGCCCACAGTGACATTTGCTGATATATTGGCTGGTGAACAATCCCAATTAGCACCCCTTCCGATTGATCAATGTACACAAGACTAATTTATTCGCGTATAATACGCACTCATGTGTTATATGCACCCTTAATTATGGGCAATAAAATTCTGGACAAATATATCTGCCGTACATAAACATTTCAGGCTGTCAGCATAACCATGATATTTATCTTTCAACTCTGTTTTTTTTTTCTTCACCAAAATAATATTCTAATAAGAGCCCCCTATTTCTATTTTGAGAGCACCCTGGGTGCTTATTACGTCAAATACGGTAATCAAAGTTTGTTTGTTTATTTCTTGTTTAACGCTGCACTCAGCAATATTCCAGCTATATGACTTAATCAAAGCATCGTTTAGGCGTCAAATGCTTGGAAACAGTAATGATTTTGAACCAAATCGAACAAAAGGATCATGCTCTGAAACTGTACCCCACAGAACTTTCTCCTGGGAAGAGATGCCGGAGAATGTGTTATGATATATAGTTCCCCTAGGTTCATACATTCCTTATGTGAACTATATTCATTACAGATTTTGGTCAACAGACAGTCATGATTCTGAACCAAATGGACTAAAACGTCCTCCTAAACCCTAAACTGTGAAACTTATATACCTCTGACAACAAAATTTAATTCTCTCTTGGGAAGAGGAGCTCACACTGGTTAATGTTACACATATCCTAAGGGGTGGTACATTTTCGCTTTTTTACTAATGCGAACCATATTTAGGACCTCACCAGAAGTTCAGGGCCTGTACTGTGTAGTACAACAGGCAGGAATTTCATCAGATCTGCTCTTCAGGTAATAAAACCCCCAAAGTGTAAATGTACATCAACACTTCCTTGAAGTTAAACCACTAGTTCCTCATATAGCCTACTTCATACCATAAGAAACACCAAGGTTCAGTCAAGGAAGATACTGATTTCACAAAGAGATTTTGGGGCAAAAAGCTGTATTCTAGCCAGTACTTAAGTAGGGCACCTCAGTGAATTGTGGACTGAAGGACACCTCTGAATGATAAGCTAAATAGGGCACACTCCTGAATGATAATCTAAGACACTCACTGAATCATAAACTGGGTCACTATGAATTATTAACAAGGATATGTCAGCGACTTGATGCAGACATGATATTTTCTTGTCATACAGGATGGTGTTATCATTGAAACCAAACACTGTGGTACAAGGTTACAGTTCGTATCCCCTCCTTTTCTTCATGTTCATTACTACAAAGTATGTGATAAATGAAATATCTCCCACCACTTATTCCATAAGATTCCTTGAATGCCCGGAGATAATGAAACAGTAACACTGAAGGAGACGAAGGTAGCCCAGCTTATAAGGATGTAGATAATGGAGGTTACATTGACGGGGTCAGATTGCATTCAGCTTCGGCTCACTGAACCCCCACTTTCCTTAATGATGACATACTTCAGTGATTCTCATCAATACAAAAATGACTTAAAAACTGTGTACAGTTAAGGACAGAGAGGGAATTTTTCCTTTTCCTTGTCATTTGTATGACTTCATTGGCTTGTCACGAACTAAACTTGCTGGAATGAGTGAGTGGGTGAGTGAGTGAGTAAGTATGGTTTTATGCCACTTTTAGCAATATTCCAGCAATACCATGGCAGGGGACACCATAAATGGGCTTCACACATTGTACCCATGTTGGGAATCGAACCCGGGTATTTGGCGTGATGAGCGAACGCCTTACCACTAGGCTATCCAACCGCCCCTACACTTGCGTGGAAAAAAACTGGGTTGACCAAAATTGTTTCACTTACCAATGGGATCAGTGCCACAGAAAGATCCCAGAAAATATGTTAGACAAAAGCGTCTTGATCAAATTCTACTGTTACACAGGTGTGTGTTTTTAATATTTCAAACACTTGGGTCATTGTATGAATATCATCTAATTAGGGCTGGGATGGGTAATTAGGGTAATTGGTTGGGTGGGTCCTGAGTAGGACCCAGGTACCCACAGGACTACCTGGACCCGTGGTTAGTCACGTGATATATTGTTGAATGACAAAAACTCACTATTGCTCAGTGGTCACACTACAAGTCGCTAATGTTCACATGCACACATTTGTTTTGACTTGTATATGTTTGAGTAAAGATAAAGCTTCAGTCAACTTCGGCGAACGAACGCATCATCTGATTGTTTGATACATGTATCTAAATAGTTTTAGCCAGGGATGCAGCAAAACAATTACCTGTCAGACATTTTGTTTCCTATACTCTTGAGACTTGCAGTGATTACCCGGGTAGGGCCGGGTAATAGCGGGGTGGGTACCTGGGTTGTAAATTTGGACTCGTATCAGCCCTACTTCTAATGTTCTACCACCTAAGGGAAGCTTGATGAATGTCTGGTGAGTGAGTGAGTGAGTGAGTGAGTTTGGTTTAACGCCGGTTTAACAGTATTCCAGTTATATCGCGGCGTGTCAGCTTAATGTGGGAGGAAAGCCCGAAGTGATGCATGTCTCAGACGTTTACCACTTCGGTGAAACCCACGAGCACGGGTATGGTGCTGACAAACCTAGAAACATAATCAGGGCGAACCGGGATTCGAACCCACAATCATAGGTTTCTGGCGTGCCCAGGGGACGCAACCCTGCACAGCGAATCGAGGCGCCTTAGACGACTGGGCCCCCCATGCCCCCGAATGTCTGGTGAAAGGTACACTGTTTGGCAGACAAATTGTCCTGTACACAAGTTGTTGGGCAAGAAATCACAAATGAATAGGAACTCAATCATCTCACTCTGCTACTTCGCAACGCAATGTGTCAACATTCACCTCAAGGCTCATTTTCCCAACCCGAGAAGTAGATAAAACACATGCAGAAATTTGAAAGAAAATATTTGGCATATTCCAACAGGCCATTTGTAACTTCATGCTAGTTTTACTCATATCTTTCAACACTGCCAATGGACTTCTGAACACATACTCACAGCTGGAATAACTTCGGCTGCCAGGACAGAGATTTCACACCTAACAACCCTCCCTGTCAAATATTTCAGGGGAATTTTCTGCCTCAATTTCTATGATCAGTGATTTGCAAGGATCTGAGAGAGCTACACCACTCGGAACATGGAGATAGGATCTCCTGGATGCTTCCAAACAAGGCTTATGTTCCCCCACGCTGCGAGGGGACAAGCACCTGTATACAATCTCTGTACAATCAGCACTG